CCTTGTTGGTGTCTTATTCAAAGCAGAACCATTTTCCCCATGCTTTTTGATTTGTGGGAGAGAGAGAGATTGCCTTGACAATTCATATGTCTTATGGACAAAGTTTAAAAGGCATAGCTTTCAGGGATTGTGTACCTAAATTTTTTTCTCTCTCTTTTTTTTTAAGATTTTATTTACTTATTTTGACAGAGAGAGACACAGTGAGAGAGGGAACACAAGCAGAGGGAGTGGGAGAGGGAGAAGCAGGCCTCCCGCGGAGCAGGGAGCCCAACGCGGGGCTCGATCCCAGGACCCCGGGATCATGACCCGAGCTGAAGGCAGACGCTTAAAACTACTGAGCCACCCACGCGCCCCTAAATTTTTTTCTCTTAAGAGCCCTTTAGTTTAAAGAGAACTGAAGAACAGTGTTGACATTTATGACTTAAAAAAAACTCGATTTTTTTCTGTAATTTTCAAAGAAAATACTCTTTAATTTCAAAGAACGACTGTTCATGACTTATTGAACCTTATTTTGAAATTTATAAGGAACAGTTGATTTATACACTTTTCAGGTTCTGTTTTTATTCTTTTAAAATATTTAAATATCTTGGAGTTAATATGGTTTATCATAACAGATAAACAGTATATTTGGTTGTTTCTGAATTTTGTGTTCTTGACAGTATAAGAATTTATAAAATTTTGATTCCTTCACCAAATTATTTATTAAATAGTTGTATGTTTATAATAAGTCTAGCACTTAGTTGTAGTCATTTGCTTGTTTTGGTATTTTGAGAGCTTAAATTGATGAGCTTTATCATTGTTATAGCTTTGAAATTTAAATTAAAAATATGCATATATAAACAATATTATATTTAACATCATTAATAGGCTGTTTGCTTTCTTAGGTCCTTCTAAGACGGAGGAGTCCAGATCCATTGCTAAAATATGAGAAACATGAAATTTAAGTTAAATATTTTTATCTTGAGTTCTCTTATACGATATTATTTTTTCCTATACAATATGTTGGACTCATTTGAAATATTTTAATTTTTGGTAGAGTTGTTTTATCATCTCTATTTGTCATTTTCATCTATTACATTAACAACCTCTGGTTTTTAGTAGACTGAATCACCTTTCTATTTTCTCAAGTTCTTTTCTTGATATTTATTGGTGTTTGATTCATTCTCAATTTCACTATTTTGTTAGAAGTGATGGAAAGTGACTTCTTTTCCCCCTTCTCATTGCCTCATTAAAAATAGAGAGGCCATAGTTGCTTCTCTAGGGAATTTTGTCAAGGCAAAAGTTCAGAAATAAGGATGGTGTGTCCTCTGCTTGCATTTTGGTCTTTTTGACTGAGGTCACCTGGCTGACAGTTCTGGTCTCTTAGGAAAGCTTTTCACCCACTACTTTAAAAATCACCAAAATAGATTTCAATTAATGTCAAATTTGTTATTCTCTTTGAATTATCTTTCTTGTCAGTTCATAATAGAAGTTTACTGATTTAGGTCTAATAGTCTAGGATGTTTTTGCAGGAAATACCAGAAATAATCCAAATTCTGGATTATTATAATCCTGTGTTTCTTAAAATGTTTATATCATTAGCAGAAATTTGTCTTGATATTTGAGCCATGGGTAGATAGTCTCAAGGATCACTTCTGGTTTAATTAACACATGCCTTAAATTTTCATAATGAGTTTGGTTGTTGTTTTAAGATAAACTGAATTTTAAATATGCCAGACCATTTCTCCATCTTCCTGCTTTCTTTATTTCTTTCTTCCTAAGTCACAGCAAAACAAGATAAAACCAAACCAAAACAAAACACAAACCACAATGTAAAAACATTAACTGAAATTTTGGGGAAAAGTTACCCATAGTTCTAACTTTCCAAAACAGCTGTTATCATTTTTTTTTCAGGTATTACTTTCTGTCTTCGTCCACATATATGGATGTTTCATTTGATTAATATGTGGTTAAGATTATATCTTTTTTTTCATATTTTACTTTCTGTCTTTGTCCACATATATGGATGTTTCATGTGATTAATATGTGGTTAAGATTATAGAGAACATTTATAAAACTTAACAATAAAAAAGTAAATCCTGGGGCTAATGAATATATACTGTGGGAAAAGAAAGAATAAATGATAAATATTAGGATAAATGAAAGGATAAATATTAGGAATTTAAGCCATCGTAGGTCCAGCCGGGTTGTCTAATTTCAAAAATAAGGTGGTTCAAATTATTAAGAAATGAGGTGTTCTAAGATAGCTAAAATTTGCTCCATCATTTACCCTTGGGCTTTTCAATTTTTTTGGCTAGAATTTGTTCAGAAATACCAAGCATTTCTAGATACAAAAGAGAATGAAATTTAGATGGAGAGGATCTTGCTTGAGTTTCTTTTCCATTACCTACCATGTGATTAGGACAACACTCTTCACCTTTATGAGCTTCAAGAGGGATAAATCACAGAACACTTGAAGGATTAGATTTAAAATGCCAAAGTTGAATTCACATACCGTACAAATATTTGTAATTACATAGAGACATGAATAACTAACATGTATAACTAATTGTATCTTTTTTTGTGACTATGGATATCATTAGTGTGATGAATGTCCTTTTGTGTAAATTTTGGTGGTTTAGTACGTTGTATAGGTCGTGTATGAACTCCAGGATCTCATGAGGAAACCGGACTTGTCCAAGAGTGCTTGTCACTGGTCAGTGACAAGGAATGCTAAAGAATTTTAATTTCTACTTGAGTGTCCTTTTTGATAGATCATACCATAGCCACTTAGCAGCATGTTGACACCTTTGAGCAGTGGTTAAACATTCCTTTGTGTGACCCAGAAATCCCATTTCTGATTATAAAAATAACACTTGGAAAATAAATTGAATTATTGAACATACAAATGTAAGTGGAATGTTTTTCTTACAGCCAGTAAAAGGTTAATACCTGGGTGTGTGTGAGGAAAAACAACTAATCTTATCTTTATTTCCACACTGGGCAGCAAAGTTAGAGGAATCCACAGGTTATGGTTGCTCAGGTCTGATTTAGGATGAGTCACACAGCTCAAATAAGAATACAAGGAGGGTGGTGGTTAAGTGTTGTAATGGATACACATATGGTATTAGGCAAGTAGTTCATTCTTATAAAGGAAACAGGATGTCTCCAAGGAAGTGATACCTACGTAGGTCTTGCTGGATAAACAGAAGTTCACCGGGTAGCCTAACAGCCTTCCAGGCCCAGAAAACTGCATGAGCAAGACATAATGTGTGGAGTGTAATGCCAGTAATGGCGTGATTTGTAGGGGGCATAAGGAAGCGGGTAGGGAGAATGAGCTTAGAGCCACTGCGCTAGTACTACATTTGACTTCTACTAAAGACAGTGAGATTTTTATTTCCACCCCAGAGAAATGTTGACAATGTTGTATAATGAATAAGAGGAGAAAGAATAACATAGCCAATCAGTATAAAATAACGAGAAGTGTTTAAAACATGAAGAAGACACTCCAAATGTGCCCTTGCTGAAAACAGACCATTTTTTGGGAAAGTGGGCAGTGTCGTATTCCAGTCCAAGTAGTTGGCAAATGCTTCAAAGAAGAGTTAATTCCCCACCCCACGTCAGAAATGATAGCACAGGTAACCTGACTGATGACACAGCTAAACCATCTGCTACGACTTATCATATAAACATTAAAATCCATTATTCCCTTAGCTGATGCTCTCTGACATTCCAGAATTCACCCATTGGGTTAAAGGCTGCTTCACAAAAAGAAGTTTATGTAAATGGAGAAGACTTTCAAGTCTTCTTTTTAAATATTTAGGATGAGTCACACAGCTCAAATAAGAATACAAGGATTATTGTATTACTTTCTGTCTTCGTCCACAAATACAAGGAGTATTGTATTATTTCTTTTTAAAAATTAGGACAGTGATAAGAGATACTTTGATAGGGGCACAGTCAGGAAATACTCACGTAAATAGAAGAATTGACAGCTAAGACACATCCTATTCTTATTACATTGTTTTCCCATAATGACTTTCTGATTTTCCCCTTTACTTTAAGCACTAGATAGGAAGTCAGGAAACCGGGATTCTAGACCCAGCCATATCATTTCTCAACACATACCTCATCCCAGAGAAGTCTCTTTACTTTTCTAGCCTTCGGTTTCCTCATTTCTTGAATGAAATAATTTTCAAGTAGGTTCAATGGGATGTAGCAGAGATGCTTCATAGGCTGCTTTGGAAGATGAAGGGAGCCTCCTGCCAACCTTTCCCGTTCCAACAGAGCAGCTTTGTTTTTATTTGTATTATAAATGGAGCTTTCACAAGACTTTTTGATAAAAGGATTCCGTCACTTTTTAAAGGTTTGAAAATCAATGAACTAGACACTTCATAGGGCATATCCAGCTCAGAAACAATTTCCACATCTGTAGAATGAGAATAGCGATAGTTTCATTTCATAGGTATCTGAGGGGTGATCGCAATGTTACATATAGAAAAGGGCATAGAATATAGGAAGCATTCAGTATGTTAACTGTTACCCATCCCCAAGTAGGTCCCTCACAAATAAGACTGCATTTCATGTGACTCGTGAACTTTGAGTATGAAATACTGACCTGAAAAAATTGCCTAATCTGTTTTATATCAAAAACACTATAAAGATGTCTTGGATATATACTCTGAATTTTTAGTATAACCATTTTATTTCTATTTATTTGTGCGTTGCTTTTCCCTTTCACACTTGAAAGTCTTCTCCTTCTCCATCAGACTTTTGAACTAATTATGACCACATTTATGAAAATTTTTTTTTTTTTTTGAGAGAGAGAAAGTGTGAGCGGGTCGGGGAGGGGCAGAGACATAGGGAGAGAGAGAATCTTTAGCGGGCTCCATGCTGTGCTTGGAGCCCATCACTGAGCTGGATTTCACGATCCTGAGCTCATGACCTGAGCTGAAATCAAGAGTTGGACGCTGAACTGACTGAGCCACAATTATGAAATTATACACATCAATGTGTTTCAGGCTTTCCAGTGCTTGGGAAAGTGATATCAGCATCCACTCTCTAACCCTGCCCTCTGCAACCTGCTTGGAGCTTCTGTTGATATTATCAAGGAATAATGCCACGCTGCCGCCATCCCTTCGCTCTGTGAATTCCTTTCAGGTAAGTACAGCTCCTTTACCAGGTGTTGACTTTTCAGTTTTACTTGTAATTGTTTTTTAAGGATCTTGTATTTCACAGGAGAGAGCCCACAGAACCCACACTTCCAGATGATAATAATAAGCACAATGCATGTAATGCCTTGTCTGTCTCTTTGAAATAAATAAACAATAGAGGCTCGGAATTGATTAGGTAATAGTCTAATAGTGGCAGAACCTGTACCTTTCTAACTCCAGAGTTTGTTCTCTTAACCTCCATCTCTCCTGCGTCTGAGAGAAATGGCAAAAACACCTGACAAAGACACTGTGAATGCCACTTTCCCTTTCCTAGCTTTGCCCTAGAACAAAGATTTTCAACCATTATTAGTAGCTTTGCTACTGTTAGCTTGCAGTCAAATTGCCAAATAGATGTTTAACACAGATGGTGTTACCCACTTCCAGCACCTTTTCCCTTTCTCCCAAGTCCCTCCCTCATCACTTTGACACTCCTCTGGATATTTATCTGTGCTCCTGGTAAAGGACGTGGTCAGAATAGAATAACATATGTGGTCTGATCAACGGGAAGACCTCCTCCCTGGTAGGCAGCTAATTGTCACTGAGGTGGCAAATGGGAATTAAGATGCTAACTAGTTGCTTAAGTTATGACCCGTAGCTACTGAATGTAACATTGAACTTATCTATGACTCTTGACAATGGAAAAATACTCCTGAGCTCTCAGAGGCTGATGAGAAGGTCACATACATTGCTGAGAAATGAGTAAACATGGGTTGGCTCTACTTCTGAAGGATTGTGGCTGTATCCTAAGATAACTTCAGGATCAGTGTATATTGCTTGATATACCTCTGTGGTAAAACAAGATGGATTTTCCTATGAATTATAGCTCAGGAAATTGTTTTAAAAAGTTGCTGCAAGGGAATGCTTCCGAACTCATTTTACAATGCCAGCATTACCCTGATACCAAAACCAGACAAGAATGCCACTAGAAAAGAAAATTATAGGGGCGCCTGGGTGGCTCAGTCCTTAAGCGTCTGCCTTTGGCTCAGGTCATGATCCTAGGGTCCTGGGATCGAGCCCCGCATCAGGGTCCCTGCTCGGCGGGAAGCCTGCTTCTCCCTCTCCCACTCTCCCTGCTTGTGTTCCCTCTCTTGCTGTGTCTTTCTCTGTCAAATAAATTTAAAAAATCTTGAAAAGAAAAGAATATTATAGGCCAATATCCCTGATGAACATAGATGCAAAAATCCTCAAGAAAATATTAGCAAACTGAATTCAATATACATTAAAAGGATCATACACCATGACCAGGTGGCGTTTATTCCAGAGATGCAGGGATAGTTCAACATCTGCAAATCAATCAGTGTAATATACCACATTAACAAAATGAAGGATAAAAATTATATGATCATCTCTAATTGAGTTAGAAAAAACACTTGACAAAATTCAACATCCATTTATAATTAAAAAAAAAAACACAAAACTCTCAACAGAGTGGGTATAGAAGGAACATACCTCAACATAATAAAGGCCAAATAATGACAAGCCCATACCTAACAATCATACTCAATGATAAAATCAGGAATAAGATAGGGATGCTCACTCTCACCACTTTTATTCAACATAGTATTGGAAGTCCTAGCCAAAGCAGTTAGGTAAGAGAAAGAAATAAGAGGGGATCTAAATTAGAAAGGGAAGGAAGTAAAACTCTTTGCAGATGATATATTACATAGAGAAAATCCTAAAGACTCCACCAAAGAACTGGTAGAACTAGTGAAAGAAATAAAGTTTCAGGATACAATATCAATATACAGAAATCTATTGTGTTTCTATATTCTAATAACAAAATACCAGAAAGAGAAATTAAGGGGCACCTGGGTGGCTCAGCTGGTAAAGCGTCTGCCTTCGGCTCAGGTCATGATCTCAGGGTCCTGGGATCAAGTCCTGCATTGGGCTCCCTGCTCAGTGGGGAGCCTGTTTCTCCCTCTCCCTCTGCTGTTCCCCCTGCTTGTACTCTCTCTCTCTTTTTCTCTTTCTCTGTCAAATAAATAAATAAAATCTTTAAAAAAAAAAATTAAGAAAACTCAGTAGCAAAAAAAACCACAAACACTTCAATTAAGAAATGAACAAAAGATCTGAACAGACATTTTTCCAATTAAGTCATACAGATGGCCAACAGGTACATGAAAAGATGCTCAACATCACTGGTCATCAGAAAAATGCAGATCAAAACCACAGTGAGCTATCATCTCACACCTGTTAGGATGGCTGTCATCAAAAATATAGGAAAGAACCAGCGATGGCGAGGATGTGGAGAACATAAGGGAACCCTTGTGCACTCTTGGTGGGAATGTATATTGGTGCAGCCACATGGAAAACAGAAACCTGTTGGCCAAAAAATTAAAAATAGAACTGCCGTATGAACTAGCAATTCCACTGCTGAGTGTTTATCCAAAGAAAAAGAAAACACTAACTTGAAAAGGTCTATACATCCCCATGTTCATTGCAGCATCATTTACAATAGCCAAGATACGGAAACAAACTAAGTGTCCAACTATGGATGAATGGATAAAGAAGTTGTGGGGTATATAGATGCAATTCAACCATAAAAAAGAATAAAGCCCTGCCATTTGTGACAACATGGATGGACCTAGAGGAGATTATGCTTAGTGAAATAAGTCAGACAGAGAAAGGCAAATACCATATGATCTCATTTATATGTGGATTCCAAAAAACAAAACCAAAGAATCCCAAGTTCTCTCTATGGAGAGCACAAAATGGGTAAAGGTGATCAAAAGGTACAAAGTTCTAGTTATAAAATAAGTCCTGGAGATATAATGTACAGCATAGTGACTATAATTAATAATACTATATTGCATATTTGAAAGTTGCTAATAGGTAAGATCGTAAAATTTCTCATCACAAGAGAAAAATTATTTTTGTAACTGAGATGGTGCTGGATGTTAACTAGACTTATTGTGATCATTTTGCTCTGTATATAAATGTAAAATCGTTGTATGCCTGAAACTAATATAATGTTATATGTCAGTTATACCTCAATTAAAAATATTTTTTAAATAACTGCTCCAGTCTAATTTGCATCCATATTCTCCTGGTAAGCTGTGATACTATGTTTGATTTTCTTCCTGATACCAATTTCATACTTTGGCCTTGGTGTACCTGTTTTATTTATCACTACTTGATTATCAGCTTCAATCCTGAACTCTCAAAGGGACTTCTGAAAATACCTTCTCATTTTATAAGAGAGGAAACTGAGATTCAGAGAGATGGAGTGAGTTGGCCAGGGAATACCCACCATGTTAGAGACAGAGCTGGACTCACCAGGCTTGTGCCCTGGTAATTCCACCTGCTACCCAAATGCAATACTTGCTCAAGTCCTGGAAGGTGGAGGGGATTGAGTGGTAGATGAAGGCAGGTTGTGTCTACCTTGGAATGTACACACACACACACACACACACACACACCCCTTATTTTGCAGTAACTTAAAATTATTTATATACTACCCTGAATCAGAAATGATTTAAAATTCTGTATATCAATCCATATTTCTTTTAAGGTTTGCTCATTGGATTGAACATTGAATAACATAAAAGTTTGTATATGCCCACAAACATTTATGGAGGGAGATACAAGAAACTTAATAGTGGTTATCTTTGGGGAGCAAGGCTGGAAGACATTTACTATTTATGTCACTTTCTCATGTACTGTTTGAAATGTTTATATGATGGGTGAATGGGATTCAAGAGGGATGACTCGGACTTGGAGGATGTTGCAGCATATGAGGGAGATAGAATAAGCATCCATGATTATTGTGTGATATAAATTGAGAATAATTTTATTACAAAGTAGCCTCAACTCAAGCCTTAAAGAGATTAGGTAGAAGAGTAATTTAAACTGGGTGTGGGGGAATTGAGAGGAGGCACATTCTGTATTGTCCCTGAGACAGAGGAGGTCTTAATCCCTTGACCAACCTCAGCTCAGGCTCATGTCGGCACCTGCGCACAAAAGCCCTGCGTGCTCTTGGTGGTGTTAGTGTCTTCTCATAGCAGCTCAACCACAGGAGCTCTGTGACTGACTGTCCCTCCCTACTAGTGATTATACTTCATCTGGGTTCAGCCTGGTTGCTGAATATTACTAATCAGGAGCACAGACACTTTCCCAGTTTCCAAGGTTCCGAGAAACTTGGCACAAGTTCACCAACAGTGTCTGCTAAAGCAATGTAGTCCTTGCTGCTGCCTCTGGAAAGAAGCATTCTTATCAGAACCAGAAATCAACTTCCTTATGCAGGTCTTCACTGCAAGATAAAGGATCAGTGAAGAAGGGGAGGATGTCTGTCAGTATTAGAAAGAGATGGCTCTGCTTTTTCATCTTTGTAACACCTACTTAATCATGTATTACAATGACAAGGAGTGGGGCTGCTAATTTTGCCCATATTTGGGGTTTACTTTTTCAACTGGAAATTGACTGTAATGCACATCTTTTAAAGTGCTGTATTGGCAAGAGCTGTAAAATAGTGGAATGACACTTGTTAAAGATACCATCTTTACATTTCCAACTCTCTTACTTTCCAGGCCAAGTTAGTGACTGTGAACACTGCTGCTTTTGTTTTTGTAAAAATGTTATTTTAGGTTTCCAGGGATTCAAATAGCACTCCTGCTTGAGCTGTTCTCACTGCCAAATCCCAAAAGGAAAGGTTTATCGTATTAATTAGAGTTATTAACGTATATGAAATTCTAACTTCTTAAATTACAGTGTAACATTTCTTTCAGGCCAATAGGGATATCTTTTGGTGGATTTGTTGTAATATTAACATGTACCGTGTCACCATACTGTAATATCCATAGTGTAACTATGAGCAAACAGAATCACCGATGCATTGCTAAGCACATACTATAGTTGTTGTACCCCAAGAAGAAGGATGGACTTATGTCACTCTCTGCTTAAGATTCTTCCATGACCTTCCTGTTGCAATGAGAACAAAATCCAAACATCTTACCAGAAACAAGACCTACCTTTGGCACTCTTGGTGTACACTTAATCAGGCCAGAGGCCCAAAGGCCCCCAGCTGAGCATTGTTTTCCCAGTTTGTGCATGCTTCCATTTCTTCTGCAGTTGGGTCTCATCCACTCTAAACATGGAATAACTAAGTGGTATTAATAGGTGGAGCCATCTGGCTAAACTCTCTTTCTCTCTCTCTCCTAACTTACGGTTTGACTTCCACAGAGAATTCCCAAGAAGAGTCTTCCTTGGAAACTTATACTCAACTGAGAGATATGGTTGTTCCACCACTCGAGCCCTGAGCTGAGGAAATCTTTCTTGTTCTTTCCCACACCTTACCTTATTAACTCCAGCTCCATCAGCTGCTCCTGGCCTTCCCAACTGTGCAGGTGGCATTTCTAAGGGCATAGAGCCCCCCAGTTAAAGCTTCTTTGTTTCCCCCAGGTAGATAGCTAGGTTCTACAATAATTGTAAATGTTTTCACAGACATCATCCTTTTTTAAATCCTCACAACAACAAACCCCATTTTAAAGATACAGAAAGTAAGTAATCTAGACAAGTTCATGTAACTACTAATATGCAGGGCTATTTTTTTTTTTCAGTACCTACCTAGGTTCTCTGATTCTGAGTCTGTTATTTATTCCATCCCATGACCGTTTCATCAAAGAAAATGGCAAAGGGTCCTTTTTCACAGTCCTGGATTTGGTATCATCTTATTTTTACCATCTGGCAGCAACAGTTTTTCTTTTATTAATATCATCCTTTAGAGAACCACAACCTTCAAACATGGGCACGGTGTGAGTAACATTCTCAAGCATTATGGATCCTAGCAGAAAAGTTGAGTTTCATCAGGTTACAGTTTTATGTATATGCTGTGTGATTGAATTATATAGTGAAAATATGTAGAAAAGAAGAAACAGAAAAGCTTTATAGAGCTTATCTATTACCATCTGATAATTAGGGTTGGTCAGGGATATTTTCTCAGCTCTAGATGGATTTGAAATCATACACTGTTCACTGAGGAAGGATGAAGCAGATGAAGCATCTTGAGTAAGGGACCTGTATACTATGTAGAGAAAAAGATTCTCATTTATGTTACTTGTATGTAGTTTGATTTTTAACTTTAAGAAATCCACTGATAGTTGAATTTCATCATTTCCATGATGTAAAAACTATATGTTCAAGTTCTCAATTGTTCAGAAATTAATAATTTTACAAGTAATTCTCCCATCCATCTGCTTTTTCACTGCCTGCTAAGACCTCTGTCATGAGAGAAGAGGGAAGGAAAATAACACATGAAAATCTGGTTTAATTATTTGGCCATTTGTTGGAATCTCAGGTAAAAAGTTTTGATGATACAGTAGTTTGAAGGAAGTTGTGGTTTAATTTAAAACTTTTTTAAAAAAAGATTTTATTAATTTATTTGACAGACAGCGAGAGAGGGAACACAAGCAGGGGGAGTGGGAGAGGGAGAAGCAGGCTTCCCGCTGAGGCTTCCCGCCGGATGCGGGGCTCGATCCCAAGATCCTGGGATCATGACCCGAGCCGAAGGCAGACGCTCAACGACTGAGCCACCCAGATGCCCCTAATTTAAAACATTAAAAAAAAAATACAATCTATAGGGGCTCCAAGAAATTGTTAGGCAGAGGCCCGAGAGCTTTACAGACGAGTAGCAACAAAGGGCTACAGAGAAGAGAAAGTGAGGTTTCTAACTCGACACCATTTTTTTCATCTACTTTTCAGACACTGAACAACACAAATGGCCTTATCTGTCTCTTGCCATGTTCATCTCTGGGTAGATAATAGCCATAATCACCTTTTAAAGTAATATTACTCTAAAATAATATAAAGTAATATTACTTTTAAAGTAATATTTTACAAATTGATTATGAAAAGATCACTTTCATGATAAAAATTGGAAAATACAGAAAAATGTAAAATAAATCAAAATCTCTGGGAATAACCAGTAATGGCATTGTAGGGTAATTCTTTTTTTTTTTTTTTTTAAAGATTTTATTTATTTATTTATTTGACAGAGAGATAGCGAGAGCAGGAACACAAGCAGAGGGAGTGGGAGAGGGAGAAGCAGGCTTCCTGCCGAGCAGGGAGCCCGATGTGGGACTCGATCCCAGGACCCTTGGATCATGACCTGAGCCGAAGGCAGACGCTTAACGACTGAGCCACCCAGGCGCCCAGGGTAATTCTTGTTAGTGTTTTTTGTGTGTGCTTCGAAAACACATGTGCCAATGTACATACACAAATGCAAATATATTTTAGTATAAAACTGGCCTCATTGGAAATGCTGGAAATGAGATACTGGCAGTATTCTGCGCTTTCCTTTGCTTCATCTTCTGGCATGACGACAGTCTTCCTGGAGATTGCTGAAGGGCCTTGGGGGTACTTTTATATAAAGGTCCTATTATTAGTTGAGCATGGATAAGATAGGAGGCTGTAAGCCATTGCAGATGTCCAGGGGTTGCTGGAGACATAACAGGAGGTGAATAGACCTTCATCAAGATGGGCAGGCACTTGCTAGAATTTGTGCTCAGCTCTCGTTGTAATCCTTGTGTGCATTCCAGAGAGTTAAGGGAGTAGTGTTGGCACCCTCAAGTCCTGAGAAGTGTCAGCCTTCTTTCTTTCCTGCTAATTCCTTTGTCCTCAGTGGGCAGAGATAATCAGGAGTTGAGTGCTACTCATTGTATTTAGGGAATCCAGTCTCAAAGGTAGTGATTACTGCTCTATTTTCAATCTCTCAAAACAAATTTCTGAGAATTGCCTTAGCAATTTGGGTGTGAAAAGGATGTTGCCTTCTTCATCCCTTGTTGCCTGCAGGGCATTCTTGGTTTGGGAAAATGAGCAGGTATCCTTAGCTTAATACAGTTCTCTCGTGTGGATTCTGCCTTCCTCTGCCTCCTTTCCTACCTGACTACCATGCTGCCCTACTCTAGAGAGCGTTTGGAGGATGGGGCCAGGCAGAGAGCCAGCCAGAGGCCACTCGCTTTGCCACATGCCCCGCTCCTCAGGAATTTCTGTCCCCACCAAGGAGTTAGGGTTGTAGGCAGG